TAAAACAGAACGTTACGCAATGTCCGAATTCGAATCGGCATCCATGGCCTGTAGTGATAGCTCGAGGGCAGCCAAAGTTCGCTGTTCATCGTTCGACATATTCGTAAGTCACTGTCCTAGTCGTAATTTTCCCGGTAGGTACTGCTTCTGGTTAAAGTGCGAAACGGTCAACACACGTTCAGATATAAGTGCACCCATTTAAATCAAGTAAGGGTCACACAAAATCAAGGTGAACGTGGTCGAAACGACCATCAAGAGTTCCGAAATATCTTAAGGGACGTTTGTTGGTCCAATCACCTAAGGTTTCTGGGAGCCTACATGGAAACGTGCCCCCACATCTTCATTCATATCAAACCAACAAAATAGTTCTGCATTGATCTTGATGGCCGCTCGAACTCCTAGATGAGAATGTTTGTACAATAAATAATGTTTCGTCACGATTTGGTGTACTCCTTTGAAACAATTCAAGGAAGTTATACGAAACAAGGCTACTGTTATGAATTTTGATCCTGTCAATTTTCACGTGACAAAACGACCATTACGAACACTGAATTATATGACGCTGTTCTTTTGCGAAAACCACTGACACGTTACAACAGCACCGGCAACCTCATGTTAACTTGAAGGGCCAGTGAAATATCACTGAGCCCTAGACAAGTCATCCGGCAGTGGTTTGCTGAATGTTGAGCAGTTAATCAATCCCCGTCAAGGTCAGATACAACCAACTCGCATAAACTATTTTAACTCCATGGACCGGCTTATACAGTAATGGTCACACTTTCACTTGTACCTGTTTTAACTAATATATTCCTGTAATAACGTCGTTTTGTAAATCACCAACGTAGATGATCTATGTCGAAATGATTGGTGGCCTACTCGACTTAGACGTGAATAGTGTGACGAACCAACTAACGTTGAAGTCACACCTCGTGGTCAGCACCTTACGTGGACTACCCCCATTGACGTAACAAGGTACTATAGATGCTTTGAAGACTGTGCAACACAAAGGACGTTATTACAGAAATATATTAGTTAAAGTAGATACAAGCGAAAGTAAGAGCACTGCCGCATGGGCCAGTCCATGGCATACCATTAACTAATGCGCGTTTGTTGTACGTGACCTTGGCAGGGAGCGACGATCTGTTCGACAGTGATCCAACTGCCGGATGATTTGGCTAGGGCTCAGTGACATTTCACTGGCACTACAGTTTGTACTATACGGTCTTCAAAGCAGCCATAGTATCACATTAGATGATGACTGCGAGCTGTGACTTCGAAGTTAGCTGGTTCGTCACACTATTCCCGTCTATCTAGAGCAGGACCCCAATCATTCGACGTAGATCGTCTACGTTAGTGATGTACAAACTGTGAATCCCTATTGGTCCTTTACGCCTAGCCAAGTTCGTTGATTCAAGAGAGCAATCCCTGCTACCATTGTACGGATCGTATATTTCAGATATACCAATTTTATATACTAACTAACCATTTGCGCAAAAATTTGAAGAATCTTGAGGGATTGACGAAATAATGTCATCTGCGGCCAAAGGAATATTGTTATGTGCTTTAACCGAATCAGTTTTTGAGGAAACAGTTGCTACTTTAAAGATAGCTATCGCTCTTGGATGTGCGGCAAAAAATAACGATAGGGAGTAGTTTCCGTATTAAGTGACCGATAATCATCAGTTTGAAGGCCAATCGTTGCTTTCATTTTTAGGGGCCAAGTGCAAGGTGGATGATCATGGACTGTTAGATGGCCAAACAATCCCCACTTCTATCATGTGCTTTAATTCATTTTTGGCCGACTTTAGCTTTTCAGGAGATGTTCGTCGATATTTCGAAAATACAGTTGGTCGTGTAGTTGTGATGTGCTGTGTAACGTTGCTGGTTAAACATGGTAGTTTTAGTCGCATTTTGTGTAGTTCAGGTCTCTTGTTGAGCACCTGTTGGAAGTGTGGATAGATTATGTACTTAAACGTGACTGGGGATGAACTACAAACAAAATAAAGTTTTGAGAACAGATAATTTAGTGTTTGTGTCCCATAGATTCTGTTTGTTTGGATTATGGTGTTGTAACAGGTTTAAATCGGTGATTGGCATAGAAACGTTTGCAGCAACGATAGTCCAGTAAGTGGGTTTGCCTTGATAAACGCTATGATAATCACATCACTTACCTTATATAGCGATCCCTCTCTTATTTGCTGCCCACAGTTTAAAGATCGGTTCGTGTGGACGGTCGTGAGGATAGTGGGAAGGATGTCTGCCTCCCCATAAGTTTCGACGAGACAGCAAACTTGCGTTATGACGCCAGTGATGTACAACAGTTTCGGCCCCGTACAATAGAACTGTCCTGATGTTCGTATTGAAGATTGTGTCTTTGATGTTGGTCAAAAATTGTTTTGAGTTCAATATGTTGTTTAACTGTAGGAATGCCGACCTTCCTTTGCCAATCTTTGCCTTTACATGTGCGTCAGATAGTCCTTGTTCATCGACGACGATGTACGTGAAAATTTCCACTATCATCATAGATTCTCAATCAAGTGTGATTGGTTTGGTGTTCTCCGAGCAGTATTTTGGGACCCAGGTTTTTGTGTGTACTGAGGCATACTGATGCAGGGGCTTTTACTACAGTGGCTGTCTTCACATGGATGTGTTGGTGTGTATGATATAGAAAGGCTAGGTCGTCTGCAAAGTTCAAATCGTCTAGTGGTAACAGTAGCAAAAAACATAACACTTGACGTTACTAATGCGACTCTGTTTTTCTTATTGCAGGGCAACAAAGAGTAAATCTACTGGAAGGTGAGTAACAAGCCCTACGTAAGCTGAACCTACAGAACGGTGGATAGAACAATTTTGTAATAAGTTTTCCCTTTTTGTGCTCAAACCACGTCTTTTAATTTTCAAATATATATCTGTTGTGTCAATACGTCGCGTTCTTACTATAGAGGTCCAGACTGTTGTGTTATTGTTTCAAACCACTCCTGCTTCCCAGTAATCGGTAATATAAAGTGCTATATAGTTGCACGCACGCTACCCATTATATCCCGTGATTCCTTCGAGATGTAGAGGTCATCATAATCCAGCCGACCTGAGAAAGAAAAGGAGAAGGTAGGCATCCATGTCTGACTCCGGTCGTTACGTGGAATGCATCTGCCAGCTGTCCTTCATGCACGATTTCCCACTGTTGTCCTCCGTCTAAATTCCGTATGATTTTGACAATCTTCTGAAGTACTACGTAGACTCGTAGAAGCTTCCATAATATTCTTCTATCCACACTGTCAAATGCTTTCTTATAACCATGGAAGTTGATATGTAGTAATGAGTTCTATTCCGCTACTATGGCCTCAGGTAATGATTTCTACAGTTAAGTGATCCGCATTATATTTCCCATGGATGTCCTCTCAGGAGCAGCACAATACTAAATCGATTTAGCGATATCTTGATGTGAGGAGGTTTATGAGAGATATGGCGAATAAAAAGTAATTCCCTTGTAGCTCGACTGTACCATACAGGTCTAAATTACGAGCTTCCAGGTCACGCGGGCCGCTCCTGTTTTTTGTTTGTCTAATGGCTGTTCTAAGTATGCTTCTGAAAAAGTCTTAGAATTATGGTCTACTATGATATTAGTACTACTCTAATAATGGGCCAATTCATGCAGTCCAACCAATCTCTCCCGCCTTCTCCATCGTTGAGATTTATCCGCGTTAAATGTTGAGAATGTATTTTCCGACTGTCTCGTGTTCACCTTTCAGGATTGACGGCATGGCTTTGCAGGCGTAGTCACTCCCAAGTATTGTAACATGATCTTCTATTCATATTAAACATATTGTTCTATTTCTAGCCTTAGTGTGTTCATCATATATTGGTGATTGTTACGACGCGATGAGTTGGTGTACATAATAATAATACTTCCATGTAAGATCTCATAGATTAGGCAGTTATATCATGACAAACCTATAACTTTGGGATTAAGTCTATTATTAGAGTAGTACTAATATCACAGGAGACCATAATTCGGCACTCTCACTATAAGCTTTATTTTGACCTATAGACTATCCCCAGTTTAATAATTACAGTCTCTCACAATCATAACCACTTTTTGTCTCGATCTTGTACAATTGTCATTTTTTAATTATGGTATGATGTGGTCTTGTTTGCCTGTATATAAACCAAGCACGCCTGGAATAAATGATTCGTACAGTGGAAGTTGTTATTGGCGTTCTGAACTTAACAGACAGGGCTTGTCAGAAAAATGACCAATAAGGACGCTGGGTTGCTAATACCGGTCGATACGTCATAGTTGTGCCGGTGTTAAGATAGCATAGGTTGTATTCTGATTGGCGAATCAGTCACATGATAGCTAGCCCGGCGAAAGTCACAACAAGAACTCTAATATATTTTCTATCTTAGTGATATTCTCTTTATATGCTATATCTGGATATGCATCTCGTAATTAGAATTATTAACTACTTATAATTGTGTATTACCGGACCGACAGAAATTCAAACACGCCAATCTCTGACGATTTAAGTAACGTCCAGTGTATTTTTCTTGTGTGTATAATTTATAATTGATATATTAACACATTAATTTTTGACGTAATAACTTTATCACTGGCCAAAGAGTATTCTACTATTGACTAATAAACTCTTGAAGAGAGAGTAAAGAGACAGGAGTGAAATAGACCTGGACATCCTTGCAGCATTTTAGAATGTTTTCCGTCTAATTTAGGAAATTCATGACGGTTCAAGAACCCCACAGTCTCAGATTTTCGGAAGCTCGATACGCGGATAAATCTGCAGTATAAAAAGACTTACAATAAAAAATAAAGATACGCCAAAATATGTCTTTGTTAACATTTAATATATGGTGTGAGTATTCTTTTATTTACAAAAGGCTAGGTATTTGATAGTCAACGAACATATACAGAAAGGTGTTAGTGGCTTGAAAGGCGAATTCCAATTTGTTTCTTCCTTGTGGCATGACGAGTATATCAGTAGAAGTTACTAATCACTTTTCCTTGATCTACAAATACCAAAAATAAAATATCTATTAAATTCAAATTAGTGCTGATGACATTACTGCCTACGCATATTAGGGAATAGTCTAGAAACATTTCCAAAATTTATTATATAGACAGAGATATAACACAGTTCTTACAACTCATAATCCTTCATTTACTATAACCATACACTTAGAACTATCTAGTCAATTAGTGAACAGAACTGACTATATTGCAATTCTAATAAGCATGAAATTTGCGATTTTACACAATTATCTCACATTCTCTTCTATATTGCGACTGCCTCACATACTCAACATGGTTAAACTCTATCGATAACGAACTTTCACAGGAACTTTGAAAATAACCTCATAAAACTAGGCACTAGTAATCGCATGATTATTATTTTTCTATAAGTTTTTGGGAATTGTTAAATTGCACAGCTTGATAACACAAACAGAACTTAGTTGGATAACTATACAAAATAGAAAGCATTGGATGGCGATTAGTCTGAGGCACCACAAAAGTGCGCATTTACGATCTCACTGAGAATCAGATCCAGAACCTTCAGGTCTGGCGGAGGGCTAGACAAACATATAATTTATATATTGACTTTGAATTTATTACAGATATATTTCGGATCGTACAGCTTAGAAAACAAACTTGATCATTTAATTAGTAGATTTACAACTAGGTAATTAACTCAAGACTAGATAACCATGGACATCAAAGCAAAATCCGACACACAATGCAAAATCCTATCAAGTTTGTAGATTTAAAAACAACAACGAACAAGTGGAAACAAATAAAAAATTATGTAGGAAACTGCAAAGAGAAACAAGAGAAGTACGAGAAGTACAAATCAAATGGAGATCAGTAATTAGAGCGAAATGGAGTTTTTTTATTTATGTCAATTATATTGGCTATAATGAATTAAGCTACCTATCTACCTATTTTATCAAGCTATATACTGATTCTTATACAACCCAAACGAACAATACGTTTACAGACATCTTTTATTTTTTTTTGTTCACGGTATCGAACACTTATCACTTTTAAAGCGTGTGTGTGTAAATAAATAATTTCATGTACTCTGATGCAGGCGAACGAACAGAGGTTGAGGCAACTGAGTATAGTTACCAATCGTTAGATAATAAACCCTTCTGAAATGTATAAAAATTTCCAGAAATAGTGTAAAATAAGGCAATAGGGCTGTATCTTTATTGTGAGAAGTCACAAAGTACTTACATATTAAACATCGTCCGTTTCCATCTTTCGGTGTGCTTCGCTAGCGTCGTGCTTTCGATGCCCTGAAACTCTTCGTTTCGTCTGACGATTGTTGCAACTTCGACGCCACGTTCAGCTTCACCCTAGTTACAAACTTATTCGTGAATAGCGTCCGTTAAAATAGTGCGCATACACACCATTTGTTAATTGTTCCCCTTTTTTAGTTACCAAAGTACAATTTTTAACTACCTGTAGTACAACTACTCAAATTACATTTACAGACCATATCTGTTAGTCTTACAGGATGTACAAAGGTTGTCACACAGTTGTTTGTAGTGAAAATAGAATAACACTAAATCGTTACCATAAATCACCCTTAGAGAAAAAAGTACACTAATTTCGAAGACTTACACTGGCCGTTGAATACTTGATGAAAAATAATGGTCAAAAAAGTCCATGCGAGGAAAATTAACAAAATTGTATGAATTGACCTCTCTAGCTTGTTTGCTATTAATCTCTCTTTATAATAAATATATTGTTCTATCACCAGCCTCACTGTATTATTCAAAAGTTTTTATAAACAATATAGATAATTATCAGGATGGGGTGAGCCGGTACAGTTAGTGAAGTGACTTAGGCGTGAGATCGCGTCCCATCATGTTAAGTGAACAACCTTAGGTTAGATCTATTATTCTAACACTTTGGGTAGGCGTATTAATACCAATCTTAAACTTGAATCCTACAAGTTTATTCAATTTCCCAAACGTAAAATGTCTTGTTAGATACTTGTGATGAGAAATAAATTAGTAGTTTATTTTTAAATAATATGGACATGAAAATAAACTACTAAATGTAACACAAACCTACATACCTTCCCCTTATACGATTTCTTTAACAATCTATAGTCGACAAGTAATTCATCAATATCTTTTACATTATTCTCCTGTTTAGTTTCTATTATCTCCTTATTCTTCTTTTCACAGATTTCCGGGTGCGAAGATTCACTAACTAAATGTTGTTTCTTTAATGCTTTAATTTTACGTGCTCGTTTCTTTTTGGCAATCCATGCTTTATTTTTTTCCTTTTTAATTAACTGTAGGGTAAAGAAAACACGTAACGACAGGATCGATAAAGACATAGAATGATAGTATTAAATAATTAGATAAATAATCTAAGGAAAACATTCTTTTAATGTACTAAACAGTGTATATTAATTTAATCCGAATAAAACCTGGTACAACTGAGAACAAACAGTAATAATCGTCAGATGAAATAGAATTTATATGTAGGTTAAGATGCCAACGAAACAAGTGATTCTATTAGTAGACTACTAATCGAACATTTTTACCCGGAGCTTTAATATATAAGGCCATGGGGCAACATCAGGAGATCCAGTAACACGATATTCCATAACCACAAACATGTTCAAATAATATTCTTCAGTTGAGAATCCTGGAGCTCATGTACAACTTTAGTTCATAAACAGATTATACCAACTCTACTTCTTAGGTGGATCCTCTGTATGAACCAACTTCACTTACTTTCCATACTTTATTTTTCACAAATAACACCCTTATTTCGTGGACGTAAAAACTAGGATTGTCTGGCAATGGATGTAAGGATATGACTATGACAGTATTTTGAGAGAGAGAGCAGACTCTCTCCAACCTCAGCACACATATATATTGGTACAAGGAGGCACTAAATACATATACGCCACACAAATCTCATTCGATATGTGTGAGGGCTGGGATACTGCCCGGGTGCCCAAACCGAAGCAGGTCAACCTCAGCAGTATCAAAGGACTCGGTAGCTAACGCTCATCAGCCCAGAGGACCAGACGTCAATAGAATCTTACTACAACATAATTATATAAGCATTAACAATTACAATAACTGTTTAGCGTGAAGATTTGAGCTTAGCATTCAGCAAACAGCTAATTTTCTTAAAACCAACACGCTGTCTTTATTAAACTTATCTGAACGGAATCATTAATAACCAACTATTTCTATTAAAACCTACCCTTACGAATGTAATCCAGATTTGAATTGTACCCAAACGACAAGAACTTTACTAATATATAACACAGCTCATATAATTATTTGTAAAATTTAATTATAGTAAGCATTGTAATAATGCTTTCTTTAAGTGATTGGCTAATACCATTCATATTGATTCATAAATGTTAACCAACATTTTTGCTCCTTTGACATCTATTGGTGAGTACATTTGATGTATAAATCTTATAGTAATCGGACGAGAAAAATGACATGTAATTGTGGTTGATCAGAGTGTGCAGAGTTAGATACATACTACTGACTGCTTACTTTGTAATTTCCTTCCTATTCTGAACTCATTAACCGTAGACAGTTTGTTAGTTATCTAGTTAAACGCATGGACATTAGTACAAAAGGGCAAAGAATATTTATGCTCCACACTTTGTCATTCAGTGTGTGGGGACTGGGATAATGACGGGGAGCCCAACCCGAATAAGATGGTTTTCTTAGGAGGCCACTCTTCAAGTATTTGACCTAGAGGTCTAATCCACAAAACAGTGGAGCAACGTAGGGAGATGCATTTCCGTGGTAACCGGTGGCCAACAATAAGTTCATACGCCATTTGTTCCCTCAGGATACTGGAGCCCATGTACACCATTGGTTCTAAATCAGGGTTTCCCTACTCCTCTAGGTGGACCATCCGTGTCCACCAACCCGGTTAAAGCGCCAGAGCTTCACTTTTCGTCCTCTCAATCTCGTAAACAACACCCTCATTGAGAGAAGGTAGTAACTAGAACTTCCTTGACAATGGCTGTATCCACGTGTCCATGTGAGAACCTTTTTGAGAGGTAGAGCTGACTTAACCTCATCCCCATTCTCGACCGTACCATGGCATTTGGAAGCTTGTAATTGTGCTGAATAAAATTTTATCTGGCGCATAAACTGTTTCTCTATTTTTGGTTGTGAATGATTTAGTGCTACGTGACTCCAGTATGTGTATACAGTATTGATCGAGTATGCAGTCTAATGGAAGTATAGTCTCGTTAACAGGTTGCATTATGGTATTAAAGTAGTATAACGTGGCATATAAATAGATATATTTAAATTACGCCATTAAACCATAAAACATACGAATTCACAGAGAACGTACTTCTACATTATTTCAGTAATTAGATTTAAGATAAGTTGTACATCCTTTAATAACATCATGCAGATCACATACACACTGCCAACAGACATAATTAGTTAATTAAAACAAATCTAAAACATAAAATCTTACAGCTCAAAAGTTTAGGCTTTAAAACATCAGCAGAGTGATATATCCAACGAAATTTAAAGCAGTGGTAACTTTCGGGAAGAATTTATGAACTATTATGGTATATACTCTTCTAACAAAATTACTCAGTAACCAGATTATCATATCTTTATAACTGCATTTATCATAAGCTACTTTCATTTGACCCATCAGCTACTGTTATACGATTCACTATTCTTAAGTTATTCTCAATCATGTAGTTACAATCTCCTATACTAACAGTCACTTTTGAGTCATTGAACTAGTATAACTAGTATTTTTCACTTTATGGTTTGTGATGAGATCTGGTCTGTTTGTATCTAAACTACGTACGTTTGATATATATTATTAATACAGTGGAGGATGAATACTGTGTTCTGGATTCAATAGGGAGGGCAAAGAGAGGAACTATGGAGGGTTGATAACCGATATCAACTTAACAGTCACTCAAGGTTACTAGTATTGGTCGACTCCTTGATGAAGTAATAGAAATCAATATTTTGGTTAATGGCTCTGTCACGTAATATTAGTGAGCGTCCATAAGTTATCATAAAGCGTATACAAATAAATGAATGATAGATTTTATGTAACAGTTAAGAGAAATAAACACATGCTCGCATATTACTAACCCATTTAGGTTTATTTTCTCCATGTGTTTCATCAGATGACTGCATTAATTCACGCTGTTTAGCTACACTTTTATCCCTAAAATAAACAATAAAGAAATACAAATTTTCACTTTTTTTCCCATTATTTAGTTGGAATAAGGTTATGTTAATACGAAACTTGTATTCGTAGAATAAACAATGTATATTTCTTGAAAGATAAAAAGATAAAATTAGTCAGTCAGTCAGTCAGGAGCAACGTAAGACCTAAGGATAATACCTCTAGTTTTTCTTTATCTAGTTCGACAATTGAGAAATTATGTACATATCTTTTAGAGTCAGTTGGAAATTTGCTTTCGGCTGTTTGATTTTCCAGACCTTTCAGTAACTGATCTCTGATCCAGTGCCAGTATAAACCAATCCTTTTCAATTATTTATCGGGTCAGTAATATTTTGCCAACGCTTGTCAGACTTAAAGTCCTTCAAACGACTGAAGTAGTAGCCATGCGAATGAAGAGACCTGAGCTACGCATACAAAAGAAATATCTTCAACCGCTCCCCCTCCCCTGGCCAACCTCAAGGCCAATTAATCGATAGTAATCTTATCTATCGAATGACCCAATTTGACTATTGTAATTACGACCTTTTGTAGTCAAATATAATTGTCTCTGTTATCTGTATTCACAAATTCTTGTATTATTATTTATGTGTGAAAATTATATTTGAAATAATCTCAGCGATTGAAATATAAAATAATTCCAACGTTTCGTCCAACAAACTTGTCTGGACTTCCTCAGGTTTATCCTATTACTATTATTGTTATTGTTATTGCTATTGATTAAATGTCATTGATAATCTCCTCAATACATGATTCATTTAATTCGTATTCATCCCTCTTTATTACGTCTTATTAATGATTTTTTACACAATATAATCTTCCATTAAACATTTGATCGAATTGTAATTGCAGTACTATTTCTCTCACTCTATTTGACCCAAAATTATATACAGTAATTACATGAACATACAGCATCGAAAATAAGGAATGTTAATTAATAAGCATACAACTAGATCATAATTGTTACAAAGAGGGATTATAAGTGAATATTCGTGACGTGTGGTGTTCGTGAGTTGGTATTGGTATGCACACTTTTCAGAAATGGTCTAGTTACTCTAGAGGAATGACAGGAATTGAGAAATGAAATTTGGCTAAACTGAATCATATATACATATAGATCCGTTAGAAATTAAAGCACCCTAGTTGTCTAATAGCATGCACTTACCAGTTGGTTGACTTTTGACAGGTTTAATGTATCATGAGTAGTTGAGCAACGATAATTCCGAAATGATAAGACATATATCAATTAAATAAATGATTATAATAAAAACAATATAAAAATATCCTAAACTGGATATCTAGATTTATTACAAAAATATAAAAAATAGTCCACCTTAGGATAGATAGTATTGAATGTTTAACCTACAACAAACATCAATTCTTATGTAACAATTAACTTTTTCAAGTTAGCATTTATAGAGGCGACAGGGATGGAGTTCGAACCAACGCGGAGAAACCCTAATCGATTAACCCACTGTTATAATTCTTTCCTATTACAACCGAGCTATTCCTATTGCTTAGTATTCTTGAACACCAATTCACTCGACAAGTCCCCAAATCAGAACACGGTTGGACAGGAAAGAAATTTTATATCCCAAATAACAAGGGTAGATGGAAGTAAGAATAAGTAGGTAAGGATAAGAATTAGCCAATCAGTGTGCACCAATGCAATCGTGTATGGAGCATGCTTTAATCCAATCTATGTCTTGCTAACACTATCTCTTATTCTTAGTTGCAAAAATAAATATATTGGTGACAAAGGATAAAAAATAATACTGTAATAATCATTGAGGTGATAAAGAAATATTATAGTTTAAGTGGATGATTTCAACGGAGTTTTGTTCTCTGAGAAAGAATAGTTTAATTGTGAAGCATTTCATGTTCCTTCTGGACATTATAGTTAGTGTAAACATTAGGCTGAGCTAATCTAGTTAGATTTTTCTGTATATAACTGATATATTATCTGGTCGACGTTAAGATCCTGTCATTTTTGTTATCTTCCCTCCTTTGAGATGATTCTAGATATAGTCCAGAAGGATGATGAAAGCTTCATGATTAAACTATCTCATTCGACTTGAAGAATGGAACTTCATTAAAATTACGATTATCAAACATACTAAACTGATGATTATCTAATACAAGAAATCGAAGTAGTATATAGTGTGATGATGTCTTTATTTGCTGACACACTCTCCCTTCAAGACATTTTATAATTTTCTCTGAGTATTATGTACTTAGAACAGTTAGATTTTAGTGAGTCGTATTTCTGTACAATAAATGATCCATATTCTATGATACACAAGAATGAATACATTTATGTTATTTGTTACCGTTCTAACCCATGACCGCTGACTAAAATCATATGACATAACCAACAAGCAGAATATAGGTTTTTTAGGCACAAACACGTGCGCTTCGGTCATAGTATGATGTACATTCAAAAGGCACTAAAATGATAATTTTCATTCAGTGTAAGAATTTCACTTAGGAAAAATGTGGTGTGATTATGAATATTTAGAAATAGTTGGTCAAATATGTTATATCCCAAATCGGAATTCCTGCAATTGAGTTCAAAGTGTCAGACCTATATTTTTTTGGGAAGGAGAGGTTATAGGCTGGATCAGTCGAAGGACAAGTGAGAGATGCTGACAGATGTATGCCATTGGTCAAGATTATGCTCAGTTATTCGAGGTACATGGATATATGCTATTGGTTGAAAATCTGACTTAATTTCTTTAGATATATATCTAAACTAATGAATGAATTTGTGTACCATATCTTAATTCGGGTTAACCAATAAATGCCCCCAAATGCCGAAAGTGGGGAGAGTCCACTCTCCCTCTCGAAATGCTCTCACATGACCACGCGTATATAACCTCTGCTAGGGAAGTCCTACTCACCGTCTTCTCGCAACATGGGGGTGTTGCTGAGGAAATTCGGAGGACAAAAAGCAAATTTCCGGTGCTTTAACCGGGTTGGTGAATATAGAGAATCCATCTAGGGGAGTTGAAAAACCCCGATTCCAAACCAATGGTGTACATGGGCTCCAGTATCCTGAGGGAATAAATGGTGTATGAACCAATCGTTGGGCACCGGTTACCATGGGACTGCATCTCCTTACGATGCTCCACTGCCTTGTGGATCAGACCTTTAGGTCAAAAGCTTGGGGTGTGGCCTCCTAAGAAAACCACCTGCTTCGGTCTGGGCACCCGGGCAGTATCACAGCCCTCACACAAATCTGATGAGATGACAATTATTTCACGATGTAGTGCATATGTACCGGGTGCCCCCTTGTACCAATGTTTATGTGTTCAAATAAATAAATAAAAAATAACCAATAAAAGAGTTCTACTGAATCTTGGTTTCGTCACGCGAGTAGCTGGTTGGGCTCGCATATATATTAGTGTCAGACTTGGCCAACCGTTTAACACAACAAAAAAACAAACAAGAAAATACTGAAAAAGCAAATTGGCATATGTAACATACCGATAAGTTAATTTTGATATATCTACATTTGATGGATTAAATGAACTAACATTACCAGTTCGTAATTCTGGCATAGATGGGAGTTTTAAAAGTCCAAAACCGTTGGCTAATCGACCATAATCCAATTCTAATTAAGCGAAAATACATAAATTAAAACCATTTGGACAAGCAAATTTGACGATTGGATGAAAACATATGATCTCAAAAACATTTAATAATCTACATTAAACCACTATGCCGATAATTATCATATTTTCACCAATGACTAATTTCAAGAAAAAATTCTGGAATTTTAGTGAATAGCTATGACCAGTGAAGTTCAACCGTGTCGGGTATGGAAGTTACTCCAAGGAAACGATGACAGATGGTCACACAAAATCGTGCATTATTTGAAAGTAGACATAAACACCATCGGATTCTATCTCAGTAGCCTAACATTTAAGCGTTCGTGTAGAAAATGAAGATCCTGAGCTCAGTCTGAGTACTGAAGTCACATACTAGGACGAAACACTTTAGTGCTTCTTATTTGTCAATGGTTATCCTGAAATATTTGTATTTTGCAGTAGTCAGTGACAAGATAAGAAAGGAAACACACATTAGCTTGGAATTCGAAGTGTCATTAAAGAATATTGTGACTTATCGAAACGATAACAAATGTAGACTTTTGAATGTAACGGGATTTGAGAAAACACTTGAGAAAGTAATCGTTAGTCCATAAGAATTAGGAGTAACAGTGGTTCCCCATACTTCCGATTCCCATGCAACCATTTACTTCTGAACACGAAATTTAATTACAAACAAGCTCAACGAATAAAACTCTTATTTCTTGGATAAGTAGTTATGTTTTCTTGTGTTTTTCAAAGAAGACAGTTCATTTCTAGACTGAAACATCCTACTTTAATAAAAACAATTAGTCTAATTACCGCCACGATAGAGTTCTTTGAAGGAATGGGTTATATATCAACCTATTTACCATATATATAATTCAATCTCAGCTACAATTTAAGTGTGCAGGCTTATAATACTACCAAACAGACTAGACTGAATTAGAAAAAACGTGGTTCGAACTTCAGACTAACAGATCAAACATAGAACCTCCTAACCACTGAGCCACCGTTCCAAATAAGTATCATGTAAGAGAACATTAACCCCATATATGCAGTGTAGAAATAGTCAAGATAATGAAAACAAGAAAAAAAGTGATCAAGAATAGAGAGTCTAATCAATTTAGGATAATTTTTGTTCTGAAAGAATGCTATTATTGATTATACTTAAAATACGAACACATCAATTACTTACTTTTATAATTCAGTAGTAAATTACATTCGTGTTTTCGATAAAATTGAACATACGATACAAATGCACGTATTGCTTTCTCATGTAATAGTCTTTTAAATAAAAGAAAATATCAACATAGACGAAGTAAAATTTTTGAAGAAACTTTTGATGTGTAAATCACAATAACTAGGGCCAGAGTAGGTAAACCGTATGACACACCTACATTTACCGGGTTGACATTATTTACATCGTCTTGTGCAGGAATGTTACTCGGTAGATTTAAGAAAATTGTGACAAGCATCAGACTACATTTGAGCAAGGCAGCTTGTTCCACACAGCAGCTATGTTTGATAAAATTGATGTCAGGCCAACATGTGTAGTATAAGGAAAAAATCAAGTAACTGAGAAATGTTCCTGATTGTCGTGGTTAGCAGTCAACGGCAAGGGAGAAAGGTTTCTGTTTTTTTGCCTTAGAAAAGGCTACAGATTAGATCGTTAAGGTCGTTCCATGTGTAATGTTGCAGCATGGAAAGATCGGTATCACTGATTGCTGCATAAACCCATAAAATTCTGAGATGCCCTGAGTAGGCAATTAAAAGAGAGCCATTGTGTGTAGATAGAACCTTCAATAGAGTGTGTTTCTGGGTCTAATTCCTATACGTTTTAAAGCCTAAGGAACCAAGAGGTTAGTAGATGTGTCTTTTTGGATAGTGGTTCAGATAGGACTCTAGTCAAGTCAAATGCTCAAAGACTCATAAGATTATTTCTGAAAAGTAGGAGAATCACCATTAAGACGGTGAATGAATTAATTTATAAATTGCGTACAGAGCTGCAAAATGATTGCAGAATGAATGAATGTGTCAGCGAAAGCCTCCATGAATCCTTGATGAACAGTAAATTAAATGAAACAGTAGCAGTCATACATGATCCGCCCAGTGGTCCAGTAATGTCCATTTCAAAAACATGCCCTTTATCAGATTCAAATCCCATTATCCCCGAAACACAATGTACAAACAGTGACTTGTCCATCTCACAGAAAGATGATGTCTTCTTAAATGCTCATGAAATTGCTGCGCTACCCACCTACGAAGAAACAGAAAACCAATCGAGCAGTATAATGAATACAGTTGCACCAAATAGAGCTCATCATTCTGCGACAAAACTTACGCCCAGTCTATTAATTACAGTCTCCCACATTCACAGCGCAGCTTCAGATCCAATCGACGATATTAGTTTCTTCAAGATATCAGGTACACCTTGCCAACAACTTTATGAAAAAAACACTTTTGGGAATTTTTTAAATGCCTGAAAATATGAATGTACTTACTTGTCTTTTTTACAAAGATTTCGAATTCGTTCAGTGATAGAATCTATCGTATCGACTGTAGTCAACGGAGCTATATGTTGATTAAGTTCATCGCGTTCCATATGTAATAAATTTACCTGATAAATTTTCATCGAAAATAAATATATATCCATGTAAAGATATCTCTAAAATAATATGTTATGACAGGATGAATATTGTAAAAGTTGGAACTGGGTTTCGAACTATTATTTATATTTTTTGATTGAGATCATCAACCGATTAATGTTAGACCACTATTGAGAAACTGGAAGCACTGGACGGCTATTTTGTTCTATTGTGGGATTACTCAGAAGTGCGCATCCACGATCTCGCTCGCGAGATTCGAACCCAGGGCCTTCAGTCTCATGCGCAAACGCTTAACCTCTAGACCACTGAGCCGGTCGGTATCCAACTGTGTTAATGTCTAACCTCAACCAATCCACAAATTATTTATATTATATAATTAATAAGTAACTGGACTATTATATTTATATATTGTGTTTATCTTGAGCTTCCATTGAACATATTTACTACTATTGTACTGTATATAATTCCTATTTCGTTGTCAATCGATTATTCATAGTTTTCCCTATTCACAGACACTTTTGGCTTGTTTATATATCAACCGTGCAATGCGATTCAGTATGTTTGTATATAAATCCATGTTTCAAATATGATGATCATAATAATAATAATAGAAACTGGTTACTGACTTTTTGGACTCAAGACAGGGGATAGAAAAAAGCTTATGAATAGCGGATCGTTAAGACTTTATCTTGCGTCGAATCGAGGTCAACAGTGTTGGTCAGGTGAATAACTAGTCAAGTCTAAAACACTATTAGGTTGTAGAAGAAATAGTAAGCGCACGGCAGACAAATCTTAGTAGAAAAATTATAGAATTGTTCCGACAAAAAAACCTATAAGTTGTAACGGAAACAATTTATCTTTATGAAAGAATCTTATATACAGTTTTATGATATAAATCAATAACTAAGACTGGAGAACGCAAATATCCGTGAAAGAATGTAACTTCGAAGCATTTATTTCTTTATTCTTTTATTTAATCACATAAACGTTGGTACAAGGAGGCACCAAATGTGCCACATAAATCATTCCATTTGTGTGAGGGCTGTGATACTGTCCGGGTGCCCAAACCGAAGCAGATGGTTTGTTTAGGGAACCACACGCCGAGTCTTCGACCTAAAGGTCTAATCCACAAGGCAGTGGAGCATCGTAAGGAGATGCAGTCCTATGCTGGCCGGTGACCAACGATTGGTTCACACGCCATTTATTCCCTCAGGATACTGGAGCCCATGTACACTATTGGTTTGGAATAGGGGTTTTTCAACTCCCCTAGGTGGACTCTCCATATTCACCAACCCGGTTAAAGCACCGGACATTTGCTTTTTGTCCTCTGAATTTCGTCAACAACAACCTCGTGTTGCGAGAAGGTGGTGAGTAGGACTTCCCTGGTAGTTGTTGTATGCAGGTGAAGTGGGATTTAAACATACAATCAAGTATTAGTTCAAAAGTCGAAAATCTTAGGCACTGAATCACTATTTCATAGTTTTGTCATAGGCTATGAACCAAAACCAAGTGAGAAAATTAGACATTGTGATTTACTGTACAAACCACAGTAGATGAACTTATTTAGAACACATAAGTCAGAAGATAATAATAATCTATACTTGATCGAATGATTTAGTATATAATCAACAATGTTATCTGAACTGAAGTAGTTGAATCAGGATTTCGAACAGGAGACCACCACCACCTAATGGTTGAAAGTTGAACGACTTAACCATAAAGTCACCGCCACTTTACATTATGTCTTCAATCATAATAGTACAAAAAAATGCATAAAATATATATTCAATATATACTTGTTGGTTAATATGAAGGAAATTGATATATGCAGCTTCTTGAGAAGTAACAAACAATAAAGCATTGCCTTCAAGTCCACATCTAGCGGTTCGACCACAACGATGAACAAATTCACTGAAATTTAAAGTATATTAGATTAGTAAATAATGAGGTTAAAGTTTACATGAAAACAATTTGACAAAATGGTAAAGAATTTTCACAATTTTGATTGATAAATGATAACAATATTGATACTGTAAATTTAGGGTGATGAACCTTGCAACGTGAAAGATCAAAATCTTCTCAAGCGGTGGGAGTACTGTTTGCGAGAATGGAACAGTAAAATGTGAAAATCTGCAGGTTAGATTGGGTTTGATAAAGATATAAAAAATCCTTTAAGAAAGAGTCAAACCCTGATCCCAAAATAAAAGTGAACATAGGCTACATCATCCTCAAGGAAAGAATAGCGTTTGGATTTATTATTGGTCACCAATTACCGTGGGATAGCATCTTCTGACGTTGCTCAACAATCCTTTGGATTATAAATATATATGAGTGCCTACGTATTGAATACAGTTTAGCCAAACAAACTTTCGTTTTCACCATTAGTCTTATTTAGTGACCAATTAGGGGTTCGCATATAGGACGTTTGTGTACCAGTAACACACTCGGGCAATGCACATCATAACACTAACAATCTTAAACAAATCAAATCAGGAACCAGGATACTTTACATTGTATTCTACTGAATGTTAACGTATTGAGGCTGACAGAGTATTGAACTATACTTAGAAAAGATCGATGTTCTGATAGGGATAATTATGAGGGAGGATTTTATGATTTGATAAAAAGAATATTCATTGGTTAAAATAGAAAAGAAGTATGTTAATCAATCGACAGACCATATGGAATGATACGATTTATGGTCGAGTAATAGCTGACCACAGAATGGAACTATTAAATAAAGTCACTGAATAATTTAGGATCACGGATAAGACCATTTAACTAGTGTTCAAAATAATAAAAAATGATATATTCATGCCAAGAAAATATTAACACAGAAATAACATGATTAAATGTCATATGTGACTGCAAGAAATGAGTTTGCAGGTCGCTCATTCCTCCATTTGACTATTCAGTAGAACCCTTGCTCATCATATCAAAGGGAAAACTACTTATATCTTTGTAACAAATAAGGAGATTTAACTTTCAAGAAAAAAATGACTACATTAGAAATTCTATTGTAAGCCTACTTTGCATTTGTTGGTGGATCACACTGAATAACCCAATCAATATGTGGTACATCTATACCTCGAGCCATTACATCAGTACACAATAATATTCCGCTAAAATAAAGAGAGAAAAACAACAAATTTCGAGTTGAATTATAAACAGTCATTCATTTAATTCATTCGGATGAGTTGTTTAATTCTTCTCATCTAGTTGATGATTCCCAGACAAAAACAAACGCGCGTCCTGAATCCCAATCTCAAACACCATTCATCTCTGCTTATAGTTGTTAATTTAGAATAACATTGAAACAATTACAGTTAGAAATTTACTATCTACACTCACCCTAGCATCGATGAACAGGTATCACACCTTCTCCCTTTGCATACTCGTAAAAAATGTCACCCGATAATATCAATCATCAGTTGAGATGGCTGGGACACGTGTTACGTATGCCCAACCACCGACTGCCTCGACGTGCGATATTCAGTGGTATAGGAATAGGTTGGAAGAAAGCTAGGGGCGGCCAGACCAAAACATAGCACAAGTCCATGAAGTCACTGACAAGTGGATTGAGTCATGTTGGCAGGTGTAGACTACCTGGTTGGGGACTGCGAGATGATAGCAACCGACGGTTAGATATCTTGAATGACATGGCTCAAAATCGTTTGCAATGGCGCAGGTGCATCCACTCTCTGTGTTCTCCCAAATTCTAATCTTCTGAACTCTTCATGTCCCTTTTTTCCTCTTTCCAAATTTATTTCACTGGATTATACTCTTTAAATAACATATCCAAACCCTAATCTTCCCGATTACTGCTTATACTCTTATTACCTCTACCACTACGGGATTTGAATCGACTACTGCATCTCTGTGCTAATGTGGTGTGACAACTCGAACTGATGTACGTACGTACGAAGTTCTACGTTGTTACTGACTGAAGAATAATGTAATCGATTAATATTGTTATTGAAAGAGGGAAACAAAGTGAAGGAATAGAGCGCAAAAACTTTTTCCAATTAGTTTTTTGTCATGAATCTACAATAACATATACTGTCCACTGAAATTATGAACCGATCAATGTTAGGCCACCATTAAAGTCCTGGAAGCACTGAACGCCCGTTTCTTTTTAGTACGGGACTTCTAAGTAGTGCGCATCTGTGACCAGTGGAGTTACGCAGTGTCGAGTGAGGCAGTTATCCACCAAATTCATAGAAGCAGTAAACTCAATGGTGGTAATACATAAAAGAAAGATTTTGTGTAAAGATATAGTACGGGAAGAAAGAATTAGTTTGTAGAAAGAAAGATATAAGGCAATTTTAATCTCATAGTTTAAGGGAAAATAGAGAGTGTATACACCTACGCCATTGTGATCGATTCTGAGCCATGTCACCCCGAGTCAAGCGGACCTCAATCAAGTAGTACGCATCCACCAACAAGAAAGAGGTCCAGTTGATATAACTAGTGGTTACAGTATTCTTTTACTTCTCTGTAATATACAGCATAAAAAGATTTTAAAGTTGAAATATGACCATTTCAAAATTTCATTGAAGTCATAAACCAATCAACGTTAGACCACCAATGAAAATCTGGAAGCACTGGACGGCTATCCTGGGCTCGAGCCCGGGGTGTGGGATCATGGGAGCACAGTGCTAAGTAGTCCTATAATAGGATGAAATGTTCACCCTGGGTTTCCAGGTCTTAAATGGTGGTCTGGATAAGATCGGTTCGTGATTTCAATGAAACTCAGTGTTCTTCACATTTCAAAATCCTAGAATCTCTAGTTATCATAACTGGATAATAGATACTTAACTAAAATGATCACAAACTGAGAAAATCAAACTAAATAAAAAATTTTTGATTGAGATCACGAACCGATTGATGTTAGACCACCAATGAAAACCTGGAAGCACTGAACGGCCGTTTCGACCTCTTGTGGGACTCCACAGAAGTGCGCACCCACGATCCCGCTCGCGGGATCATCAATCGGTTCATGATCTCAACCAAAAACTCAATAATCTCCACAACCCTATACTGATAAATAAAAATTAACACACGAGAAGGGACGAGATCAACTGTAAACAAATTAAAATTAGAAACCATTGAAGAAAATTTAAAAAAGTTACTAACAGATCAATACGTGTTGGTATTACTGTTTACATGGTGAACTGCCCCCAAATGCCTTGGTAGGAGCGAGAGTGGGAAGAGTTCGCTATCACATGGGCACGGGTATGTAGTCTCCGCCAGGGAAGTCCTACTCATTGCCTAATCGTGGTGGGGGTGTTGTTTACGAAAATGAGAGGACGAAAACCGAATGTCCTGCGTTTTATCCGGATCCTAAACCAATGGTGCAAATGGGCTCCAGTATCCTGAAGGAACAAATGGTGTATGAACCAATCGTTGGTCACCGGCTTCCATGGGACTGCATCTCCTTACGATGCTCTACTGCCTTGTGGATCAGACCTTCGGTTCGAAGGCTCCGGGTGTGGCACCCTAAGAAAACCACCTGTTTTGGTTTGGGCAACCGGGCAGTATCACAGCCATCACACATATCGAATGAGATTTGTGTGGCGCATATCTATTTGGTGCCTCCTTGTGTCAATATCTATGTGTTAAAATAAATGAATAAAATAAATAAACATGGTGAACTAAGTGTGTGTGCGTGTGTATCTGTAGATATCATCAATTAACACATTTGAAATCGATAACAATAAGCTAAAAATCTTATCATGTAGACTGATCAAAACACAAAAGTGAATATTAAGCCATTGTGATTGTACCACTATAACTCATTAATACAACACTTACTTAGATGTATTTTTAAATTTTGTGAAAAGATCAAATCGTTTTTTATTCAATTTTCCATGTAATCTTTGTATACGTTTTGATTGTTTCAATGATAGTAAACCTTTAAGTATACAATAAAAATAATCTACACATGCACATGTAGCGAAAAATATTAAGATTTTCTCTTTTCTATGCATTAAAATAAATCGTACAATTAATGAAATTTTCTCATCTGTTTCAACAATCTGTAAACCAAAGAAAAACAAACAAAATGTGTATATGTGTATATGCCAGAAAGAAAATCATTACATTTACAAGTGCCTAAAAATGCCCTGATACGGTCGAGGGTGGAGGAAGTCAGTTCTCCCTCTTCAAATGCTCTCTCACATGGCAACGAGTATATAACCGCTGTCAGGGAAGTCCTACTCATCGCCTTCTCGCAAAGGGGTGTTATTTACGAAATTGAGAGAGTGAAAAGCGAATGCTCGGTGCTTTAACCGGGTTGGTCGATATGGAGGATTCACTCATGGAAGTTGGAAAACCCTGGTTCCAAACCAATGGTTTACATGGGTTCCAGTATCCTGAGGGAATAAACGGCGTATGAACCTATTTTTGGTCGCCAGCTACCATGGGACTGCATCTCCCGACGTTGCTCGACTGTCTTGTGGATTAGACCTCTAGGTCAAAGGCTCGAGGAGTGGCCCCCAAAAAAACTACCTGATTCGGTTTGAGAACCAGAGAAGTACCCCATCCCTCACAAAAATCGAACGATTTGCGTTGCACATATATATTTGGTGCCTCCCTGTATCTATATTTATGTGGTTAAATGAATAAATCAAATACATTTACAATTAGTTGATCACCGGGCAGTGATTAATGTCATGTATGTCAAGTTCTTAGTGCAGACGGAATCCTATCTTTCATGCTAGGTGACAGACGATCGAATCCTCCAAGAAGCATTAGTTCCTCTAAGATTACAGGTACAGCTTGTTAACGAATGCCAAGTAGCACGAAACATAGGTCCATGGTTTCTTGCTGACTACTTTCAACCATCACCTTACAAAATCATCACGTCCAAGTAGATGATTTCTATGGGTAAAGTCAGCTATTCAGCAAGTGATATGCGATGTAGAAACTGGGACATATTCGCATTAGTTCAAGGCGTCCTACCATATCAGCGCATTGAGATGTCAAAGTAGTAGGAGTAATAACTGTATCACAGTTGTAGAAGAAAATATTAGGTATAGATGATATAATTTGAGAAGAAAGTAAGAATTCATGGAATAAAAGGTACGAAGAGTAATTTTGAAAAACTCATGGTGTAATGAAAGACAACAAATCGACGAATCACTGCCTATGTGACCAATTCTGTGTCATGTTAGCCAGTGTTTCAAACCACATTCTTCACGATAATCTCACTGACCCCAACTAGACAGTCTGTACATATCGACATGGCTCACAATCATAAAAGTCAATAAATGTACAAGCCAATAAATAATAAGCTACAAATCGTAATCCCCTCAGCATATATATATATATATATATATATATATATATATATATATATATATATATATATATATATATAGGGATATGTAAAAGAAAAAAATGGTCAACTCCAGTCACTTGAATGTTTATCAGTTGGAATACTCTCGCGCAATATGCTACATTGGCGGGACAGAGTGTGATCTTTTAAAGCATATATTGGAATACTATCCAGCATGGTTATATCTAACAGTAAGTGCAAATTAGTCAGAAGTTATATTATTGAACAACTGGTCATCCTATTTCTACCAGAATCTTTATTCCAAACCGTTTGCAAAATCAAACGAACTGATTTTAAAAGGAGCAGCTGGATAAGAAATTTATGAACGGCAAAGGTTTCGGCAACTTATCAATTTCAAATTCATCTTTCTACTCAGAAGCGATACGTCCAATTCTCTACTTCATTATGGTTCTAACGACCTCTCTTATTTCGTAAGTTATTTTTAAGTTCCCATCTGTCCTCTACTTTCGTTAAGTAGACAAATATCTTTCACTTTTTAGACAGAGATGAATGATGAATAGCAATGGGATCCAGGACGGGAGTCTCGTTTGCCGAAAGTAATTACATCCTGGAGTTGGTGTTCACCTCAAAACTCGGACCCAGTACCGTCCTCTTCGAACACAACTGCGCTTTCCATTTCGCTACTGAGTCCAGATAGACAATGGCTTATGCGACAGAATGAATTTTAATAAATATATACTGGTTGTTTGGATCTTCCCATCGATGCAATTTGTATATTTCTTTAGAGTAAACTCAAAATGTTAGTAAAACTTTCATTTTACCATTAACAAGGAAATAGTTATAACATTATAAGAAGTCCCCCCTTCCAATAGTGTTACGTTCTTTTGTATTATCCGATTTTATTCTCTCACCACTCAACTCCTTTTGTGTATCACCCTATATTACTTAATAATATTCAGTAGCCAGTTTAATTTCTATAACCTCTGAGCATATAGTGTGACGGATATTTGTTGTGTAATATTTTCAAGTAACATTAGCTTTCTCTATTATTGTAATTACATTCTCTCAACGCCTGGAACAGTTATTTCTAATTTTTTTTGGATTCCTTGAATCCCTGTTTAAACGCTACAGCTTTCATGGTTTTGTACTCCTAGCCTCCGTTCAATTGTTAATATTGTCATTATTGGATTTAAACACAGAGCTACCGGATGTTATTGGCTCCATTATATGTTTTAATTAATCTTATTTTATTACTGAAAAAAAGGTTTCCTTTATATACATACAGGCGTGTTGATTGCCATAGATACCTCACGAGTTGAGGTTCGTAACTAAGTTACATATATATTTTGATAATAACCCGGTCCTCTGGATACATCTTTGTTTTAAACTTGGAGTTCACATGCACCTCAGTCGTGTAGTTAGACAAATTGACAGACTTAACAAATATGTCAAACAAACGCCTCACCTGTTATGGATAGAATACATATTTACTTACTGTATAAAAATTTTGAAGGGCAGATGGAATGCGTTGTTGCAGAGACTGATTATTCGCACATTCTAATTCTTTCTGTGTTTGTTGACTCACGGTCACACGAACTGGATTACGGAGTCCTATGATTACAATAAGAACGAAAAATTGAAACAAAATATATACAACTACCAAGATAGGAAATCAGTAGTCAAAATATACCCAAAGTAGAACCTGGCATATGGATACATCGGTTCAAGTTACCATACAATAATAACATAGCGAGATAAAATTGTTAGGACAAAACCACAGAGCAGCAGAAGTACTGACGGCATAAGTAGTAACAGAAACGAAAAATACAGAAATGAAACACGTAAGATCTTGAAAGTTGGTATCTAGATAAAAGCAAAGAATGAATCCATCTACACCATTATGACTGATTCTTAGCCAAGTCACCGAACGTCTCCCACCCACTGATGACGGTTACCACGCGGACCCTAATCAGGTAGTCTTGACCTACCAATATGACCCAGTTTAATTGTTAACATGATAGATTGATACCATGTTTTGATTTGACTGCCTCTAGCTTTTTTCCAACTCACTCCTACACAAACAAACATCGCTCGTTGAGATAGGAAATAGTTGGACATATACAATACTTGGCTTAACTACAGCAGTCGATACAGATATACTACCTACTCTATTAACTGATTTACCACCTTAACTTCAGCACTACCAACTCAGTGATTGAAACATACGCGCAGAATACTTCGAAGGTATATATGGCCAAATACTAGTGGCCTATAAATGTTCTATTATTTCTTTTAAAGGTAATGCTTCATATCGTTCAAACAACTTGGAAATAATTATCATGAAATGAAATCAGTTTATGAACCATTTAAAACTACCTAGTAATAAAAATATTTTTCTATACACCTTAATAACTTAGAGTTAGTATAGTTATCATAGAATCAAATCAAAGATAGGATGGATATGGGACAAATACGTAAGTTTTAAGTTAATAAAATGCAACACAAGTCTAGATTTACTACGAATTAAATCGATGTATTATATTATGAAAAATATTTTCATTTAGTCAGTGTAAGCAATGCAGTACGGCCGAGAGTGGGGAGAATCAGCTCTCCATCTCCAAATGCTCTCGCATGACCACCTGCATACAACCACTACCAAGGAAGTCCTACACACTGCCTTCTCACACCATGGGTGTTGTTTAAAAAATTAGGAGGACGAAGAGCGAATGTCCGGTGTTTTAACCGTGTTGGTGGATATGGAGGGTCCATCTAGGGGAGCTGAAAAAGCCTCATTCCAAACTATTGGTGCACATGGGCTCTAGGATCCTAAGAAAACAAATGGCGTATGAACCTAATGTTGGTCACCGGTTACCATAAAACTGCATCTCCTTACGTTGCTCCACTGGCCTTATGGATTAGACCTTTAGGATGAAGGCTCCAGATGTGGCCTACTAAGGAAACCACCTGCCTCGGTTTGGGCACCCGGGAAGTATCCCAATCCTCACATAGATCGATTGATTAATGTGGAGCATATCTATTTGGTGCCTTCTTCTACCAATGTTTATGTGTTTAAGTAAATAAATAATAAATAAGTAAGCAACACATAGCTTCAATTGACTTATGATCTCAACTATTAAAATAAATATGAGTAAATAACCAAGTACTTTAGGTTAAATAGTTCGGTATTACATAAAAACAAATTTGCTTACCAGCTCTTACAAGATCTTCAACACGAGTTGTTTGAGTTGCAGAAAATAGTCCTGTTCTTCGTTGTTTAGGCAAGAAGGATAAGATTGTGTTGATTCTGTGGAATGTAATACAATGTAACAAAATATTAGGGACCATATTAATACAGAATGGAGCAAAACTTTATAGAACCAAACGAAAGCCTTCATTTTAAACGAATTCCATCAGACTTGGATGGTAAATTTTAACAGCCAATAAAACTTACATATCTTTAGTCTATAGTTGAAGGAAGATTATCGAAGGTAATATATTATCTCTAACCGGTTTATCATAACTTTATCGCTTAATAATTATCCAGCTCGACAAAACTTACAACAAATACACCAGTAAGATATATTGATCAGACATTTCAATTGGACGACATCGGAGTTTCAGACAGTAGGCCGCAGGGTCGAGACCCTCCCCACCTACTTTTGATTTGGCCAGCCGGAGAGCATTATAAACTTACATAAATAGCATGGCTAAAAGCCGAGAACAGATACCTCCACTTGATAGGTGAATTACATCTCCCTATATATCTGATAAATATACTTTAAAAATGTTCTCTTGACTAATATCAAAGATTCTATATCCGTTAGAAGTCATGATTGGAGAGCCAAGGATATTACTGAAGTATCATATTCATTTTGAAGTTGATGCATAATAAATCAGATCGTCAGGAAGAGGAGAAATGTTGAAATTGAAGAGGACATTTTAGAATTAATCTTTTTGTGTATATGTAATGTGTATTTACTAGTATGGGGGTTGTGGAGATTATTACGTTTTTGATTGAGATCATGAACCGATTGATGTTAGACCACCACCTTTGGAAACCTGGAAGCACTGGACGGCCGTTTCGTCCTATTGTGGGACTCCTCAGCAGTGCGCATCCACGACCCCGTATCTACCTCAGTACAATGGAAGTTGGTCGCGCAATTTCGTGGATTGGTTGATGTTAGACACTATCACCATTGGATGCCGGCTCAGTGGTCCAGTTGGTTAAGCGTTCGCGCGCGAGGCCGAAGGCCCTGGGTTCGAATCCCGCGAGCGGGATCGTGGATGCGCACTGCCGAGGAGTCCCACAATAGGACGAAACGACCGTCCAGTGCTTCCGGGTTTCCAAAGGTGGTGGTCTAACATCAATCGGTTCATGATCTCAATCAATAATGTGTATTTATTAAACAATTAGTGTATAAAGCAGCTGGTTTGCTCTGTCCAACAGTAGGCTTACGCTGATGGTGTCCGACCAACGGACATTGAGTATCTTGTGTAGACAATTGTTTATAAGTACTTGTACCTTGTTGTAGTCGTTTTCGAAGTCTCATCTCCATACAGTAGAACTGTCTTGACGTTCATACTGAAGATTGTAACTTTGATGTTGGTTGATAGATGTTTTGAATTCCATATGCTGTTCAACTGTAGGAATGCTATTCTTGCTTTGCCAATCTTTGCCTTTACATCTGCATCAGATGCTCCTTGTTCATCGATGATGCCGTCCCGGTACGTGAAAGTTTCCAACTATTACAGAGCTTTCCCATCAAGTGTGATTGGGTTGGTGTTTTCCGTGTTGTATTTCAGAATCTTGGTTCTTCTTACATGTATGCTGAAGTATACTAATACAGAGGCTTCTGCTACACTGGCTGTCTTGACTTGTATTTGTCGGTGTGTATGGAATAGAAGTGCTAGATCATCTGCAAAGTCCAAATCGTCTAGCTGAATCAAAGCTGTCCATTGTGTTCCGTGCTTCCTTTGAGATGTGGAGGTCTTCATAATCCATTCACAGCCACCAGAAGAAACAGAAAGGGAGAGAGCCGAAATGGACAACACTAGATATCAATATATCATGGGACGATATGGACTGACTGGGAGAAATGAACGGGAATGGTGACAGATTCTCAAATTTATATGCATTCAACAAAATGGTTATACGTGGCATAGTGAGGACTGGTGTCTGACATGGCTATTTACTCCCCACCTTTCTCTTCCTCCTGGTGGGTGAATGGATTATGAAGAACTCCACGAGGGGTAAAAGGCATAGGTAAGTAATTTAAGTTTGAGATATTCGGTCGATAACCTTCAACAGCTGGAAACAGTGAATACAATATCAATTAAATCAGACTGATGGACACATTGAAACTTGATCGGCACCGAAGAACTATTAATATGATGGGACTTGTAGAGACTGAAGAACTTTCATTATACAAATCACGAACTTGACTTAGATAGACCACCATTAAAAACTTGAAAGCAGTGTTTGGTCCTAGTACGAAGATCATAGATGGACACTGCTTAGGACGAAACAGCCGCTTATTGCTTTCAGCTTTCAGTAGTGATTTAGATAAGATCCGGTCATGATTTCAACTAAAGAACTAGACAAACATAAAATTCCTTCAGTAATCAATGATCACTCAATTGTAGGCATAGAATTGATGCGAAAATATGTGACCCAGCAACTGAATATGTATGAAATGTAATCAATAAACTTGTGATTAAAATAAAATAATTACTGTGATTCAAATCCCATTTCTAGAAGACGATCAGCTTCATCAAGTATCAAAACCTCCTATTTTAAAGAAAAGAAAGGAAAGGAATGTGAGAAATCTCTATAACAATAGCATAATATAATGACACTGCTTTTCATAGTATATTCACTTATAATTGGCACAAGTTGATATATAAACAAGATAAAGTACACTTATTCGACAAGAAAAATGGTATAAATTCATTATCTAGTAAACGCATGAATGCATATTTAACACAATACTCATTGGTGTTTTTTTAAATGTAAGGCATAAATGATGTAACTCAGCAATGAATCACAGGGTTATATGTACTAAGCTTTAAACAGTGCTTATCGTCAACTAAATACAACTAACTGATTTCTCAAATAAATAATGAGCTTTGAAACTTGTTAAAGAGAAAGTTGAATAATCAAATCATCAAGATAGCATATGTACATCCTGTGTGGATTGTCTCGATATTATCATAAAGTCACTGGAATTTTATAGGCAGAAATGGATGATAGCGTACAGTGAAATAAAACACTGCTTTGATTTTGCTTTACAAAGCCTATTAATATCAAACATTTTCAAGTGGACCTAATGCAAACAAAAAGGAAGTTTGGTTAACTTCTCTTTCCTACATGGTAACGAGACTATAGTTATATAATTTCATTTGTCATATAATCTCTGCTTATTTATTTATTTATTTGAACACATATATATTGGTACATGAGTGCGCCAAATATATATGCGCCACACAAAACAATGAGAATTTAAGAAGAAAAGGAAAAAAGTGGGGAACGTAAAAAAAATATAAAAAAAACAATAACGAAGAGATTGGTGTAAGGTAGTGTAATAATAATAGTAATAGTACGGGAACAGAAGATTACAATCAGAAGCAATCTTTCAGTTAAGGAAGATACAACCACGTTTTATGAAGAAAGTAAAAGAAGGTTACAGCATGATCGCCACTGGCTTCTATTCTGAGCCATATCTGATAACGTCTCTAGCCACTGTGTTGTACCATCTCTCGGACCCCAACCAAGGAGTCGTGAAGGACCAACACAAGCCAGCCCTTTGCAGCTTTCTTTCATACCACGACACCATGTCATATACTGACCACCTCTCCGCTTTCTCCAACCAGTCCCAGAGTCGGCAAATAATGCACGGCGTGGAATTCTCTGGGACGACACTCGTAGAACATGTCCAAGCCACCGAAGTCGGTGTTTCAAGATGGTGACACTAATTGCATTACCGTCTCTGTGCCCGAACACACGATGCCGAACCTCTGCATTACTAACATGGTGTTGCCACTGGATGTCAGCAATCCTTCGGAGACAACGATGATCGAACACAGAGAGTCGGCTAACGTCCTCAACTCGGAGAGACCAGGTTTCACAAGCATAGAGCAAAACTGCTCTCACCGACGCGTTGTGGATCCGACCTTTTACAGCCAGGTGGCGCCAAAGATGGCCCAGATTGGCATAAGCCGCTCTGGCTTTCACTATACGCGGCCTGCTTGAATATCTGGGCTACCTGTTCCTCCGATCTAGAAATTTCATCAAGTTATCTGTTTTGTTGTTTGTTTTAGCACATTATTATGTCTATTGTGCGCACAATCTATTCAGGCGCGTTTATGAAAAGTTTACAACCTTTCACTATACGGGATACAAAAAGGTACAATCAGCGACATCATGGTGGCTGGCAATATGCATTGAAACGAATGAACATTAATCAAATGTGGATTACCGAACTCCTAACATCTAACCGGTCATCATTCAAAATTTATCGTCACAATAGATCAAGGTATAAGAAAAGGAAACTTGTTGAAATACTTTATGCTGAGAATTCTATGTTGTACCAAAAATATAATGTTGAATAAAGCTTCTAATAATAAAAAAATAAATAAATAAAAATTAATCTCATCACTCACATCCCCACCAGCACTTATGCAGCTACCCAGATACACGAACTTCTCGACTATTTCTATCTGCTCACCATCCAGGGTGAGTACAGGATTAGGATCCTCCCAGTCTTGTAGAAGTACTTTGCATTTCGAAGGTGCAAAGCACATACCATACCTACGGACACTGATTGCCAACTGATTAAGTGCAGATTGCATGGCTTGAGCATTATCGCACAGTAAGACAATATCGTCCGCATACTCAAGGTCGAGAAGTTTTTCTCCAGGCAACAGATCCACACCGCCATTATTTACATCCATCAGAGCTGTTTCCAGAATATCATCGATGGCAAAGTTGAAGAGGAATGGTGAGATTAGGCAACCCTGCCTAACCCCACTGCTCGAATAGAACAATGGAGAAAGGTGGTTGTATGCCCTCACTCTGCCTGAGGTGTTTGTGTATAGGGCTTTTAGGATGTTGATAAACTTCTCAGGCACACCCTTCTTCAAAAGACAATACCAGAGAACAGTCCTGTCCAACGAATCGAAGGCAGCCCTTATGTGAAGAAACACTACGATTGTTGGCCTTTGAAAAGTATGACGGTGTTCTAACATTTGGCGGAGGGTGAAGATATGAACAATACATCCTCTACCAGAACGAAACCCAGCCTGCTCCTCGCGAGTCAATCTTTCTCGGGTTTTGAACAACCTACGAAGTATGATGGAAGCCAATAGCTTGGACGCAATCGGAAGTAGACTTATCCCCCGATAATTGTTACAGGAACGACGTGAACCCTTTTTAAAGATAGGGACAACTATCGACTCATTCCATGACGTTGGTACACTCTAGTTCCCAGACTTTTATAAACAACGTCGTCAGTTCCTTAGTCAGAAAGTCACCACCATCTTTAAAAAGAGCCGGAGGTAAGTCATCTGGGCCAGGTGATTTGTAGCGCTTCAAGAGTTGGAGTTCCTTGCGGACTTCCGCCTCATTTGGTGGATCAGTCGTCACCGGCCATGGAGGGCAGGACAGTCTGACCGATGCTGCCGGAGCAGCAGGCCAGTTGAACTGCCCTTCGAAAAATCCTGCCCATCGTCCAAGACGTCGATGGGTGTTAGTGATTGGCATCCCGTCATCCTCACAGATTGTTTCGCTCACACCAGACTTCTTGCTGCCAGTGGCTCGGATGAGTTGGGAGAGCTTCCGGTAATTACCAGATGCAGCTGCTGCTTCCAGCTCATTAGCACGCTTCGACCACCAGGCTTCTCGGTCCTTACGCAAGCTTTGCCCGATTTCCTTACATAACATCCTTCGTTTATGGTCAAACTCACGGTCACCCGGAGTAGACCGACGGGCTTCAATGAGTTGTAAGGAACCAGAAGAAACCCAGTGCTTAAAAGCGGGACGTTTCGCAAACCCACAACTGACTGTTCCCGCCATTTTCATGGCGTCATGCAATTGCAACCAATGCTCATCTATACTTTTCGGTGGAGTGGTAGCTAGCCTAGAGGCTAGCTCGGTTCGATACTTATTTGCAACAGGAGTTGCAACCAACTTGCTGACATCAATCCTTTGGTGGCGGTCACTTCGTTGGCCACTGAAAAGTAAGGTAAGACTGGCACAGACCAAGGCATGATCAGAGTCGAGATAGGTACTCCAAAAGGAGCGGCAGTCTTGTACACAACCACGCCAGCGGTAGCTGATCGCGATGTGATCAATCTGAGTCCAGGCTTGAGATGCAGAGGGAGGACGCCAGGTGGCACATCGGCGATGACTGTGCCGAAAGTTAGTGCTAGACAGAAACAGGTTGTGGTCGGTGCACAGTTGCAGTAGACGGTCCCCGTTATCTGTCCTGCGACTAACAAGTCCCCATCGGCCACCTAAACGACCCTCTTCTGTGCCTAGACGCCCGATCTGAGCATTCAAGTCTCCGGCTAGTACTACAATATCTGTCGAACGCACTTTCTGGAGAAGAACAGATAACTGGTGGTAAAACTCATCCTTGATTGCATCCGGGCTGCAATCTGTCGGGGCATAGGCGGAGATGACGAAGAGACATCGTTTCTCACCCCGATTTCTTCTCACTTTGATGGAACTCTCTAATCTAACAGCACATAACCGACTGTTAATGGGGATCCAATCGATTAGTGCTGCCTCAGCTCTAGCGCTTAGTGCGACACCAACACCAGCAAGACTAGTCGAAGATGCCACAGGCTCCCCGGATAAGCGCACGTAAAACAAGCTTTTTGAAGCGACAGATGGAGATCGAATTTGTAGTACTTCGCCAGAGTCTTGAATACGGGTCTCCGATAGACAACAAACATAAATATTAAGACTTTCCAAAGACATAGCCAGTCCTATCTGTTGTCCGATCTGCATAAATGTGCGAACGTTGAAGGCAGCCAGTTTGAATGTTGCACGTGGTTTCAGAAAAACTGCTTCAGTACTCATATTCGGTGGTAACATACAATTTTCAACCAGACAGTGACTCGAGAACGTTTAGATAGAATCTAGTTTCCACCATAGGCGAGCTGCTGTATGAGTCGAAAAATAAGGATACACAAAATGGGAATAAAATAGAGTGAATAAGTGACGTAGTAAATAATAAATAATAATAATAATAATAATAACATGAATCGTTTGACTGTTAATCGAAGCAAGAATAGTATTTTCCGTAAGTATCGTCGTTTCATTCTGTTTATGTGTGGGCTGTGATACTGCCTGAGTGCCCAGACCGAAGTAGATGGTTTTCTTAGGAAGCCACATTTCAAGCCTTTGACCTAAAGGTCTGATCCACGAGGCAGTAGAGCATCGTAAGGAGATGCAGTCTCATGATAGCCGGTGACCAACAATCGGTTCATACGCTATTTGTTCCCTCGGGATACTGGAGCCCATGTGCACCATTGATTTGGAATCCGCCTATGCCCCGACAGATTGCAGCCCGGATGCAATCAAGGATGAGTTTTACCACCAGTTATCTGTTCTTCTCCAGAAAGTGCGTTCGACAGATATTGTAGTACTAGCCGGAGACTTGAATGCTCAGGTCGGGCGTCTAGGCACAGAAGAGGGTCGTTTAGGTGGCCGATGGGGACTTGTTAGTCGCAGGACAGATAACGGGGACCGTCTACTGCAACTGTGCACCGACCACAACCTGTTTCTGTCTAGCACTAACTTTCGGCACAGTCATCGCCGATGTGCCACCTGGCGTCCTCCCTCTGCATCTCAAGCCTGGACTCAGATTGATCACATCGCGATCAGCTACCGCTGGCGTGGTTGTGTACAAGACTGCCGCTCCTTTTGGAGTACCTATCTCGACTCTGATCATGCCTTGGTCTGTGCCAGTCTTACCTTACTTTTCAGTGGCCAACGAAGTGACCGCCACCAAAGGATTGATGTCAGCAAGTTGGTTGCAACTCCTGTTGCAAATAAGTATCGAACCGAGCTAGCCTCTAGGCTAGCTACCACTCCACCGAAAAGTATAGATGAGCATTGGTTGCAATTGCATGACGCCATGAAAATGGCGGGAACAGTCAGTTGTGGGTTTGCGAAACGTCCCGCTTTTAAGCACTGGGTTTCTTCTGGTTCCTTACAACTCATTGAAGCCCGTCGGTCTACTCCGGGTGACCGTGAGTTTGACCATAAACGAAGGATGTTATGTAAGGAAATCGGGCAAAGCTTGCGTAAGGACCGAGAAGCCTGGTGGTCGAAGCGTGCTAATGAGCTGGAAGCAGCAGCTGCATCTGGTAATTACCGGAAGCTCTCCCAACTCATCCGAGCCACTGGCAGCAAGAAGTCTGGTGTGAGCGAAACAATCTGTGAGGATGACGGGATGCCAATCACTAACACCCATCGACGTCTTGGACGATGGGCAGGATTTTTCGAAGGGCAGTTCAACTGGCCTGCTGCTCCGGCAGCATCGGTCAGACTGTCCTGCCCTCCATGGCCGGTGACGACTGATCCACCAAATGAGGCGGAAGTCCGCAAGGAACTCCAACTCTTGAAGCGCTACAAATCACCTGGCCCAGATGACTTACCTCCGGCTCTTTTTAAAGATGGTGGTGACTTTCTGACTAAGGAACTGACGACGTTGTTTATAAAAGTCTGGGAACTAGAGTGTACCAACGTCATGGAATGAGTCGATAGTTGTCCCTATCTTTAAAAAGGGTTCACGTCGTTCCTGTAACAATTATCGGGGGATAAGTCTACTTCCGATTGCGTCCAAGCTATTGGCTTCCATCATACTTCGTAGGTTGTTCAAAACCCGAGAAAGATTGACTCGCGAGGAGCAGGCTGGGTTTCGTTCTGGTAGAGGATGTATTGATCATATCTTCACCCTTTACCAAGTGTTAGAACACCTTCATAATTATCACAGGCCAACAATCGTAGCGTTACTTGACATCAGGATTGCCTTCGATTCGTTGGACAGGACTGTTCTCTGGGATTGTCTTTTGAAGAAGGGTGTGCCTGAGAAGTTTATCAACATCCTAAAAGCCCTATACACAAACACCTCAGGCAGAGTGAGGGCATACAACCACCTTTCTCCATTGTTCTATTCGAGCAGTGGGGTTAGGCAGGGTTGCCTAATCTCACCATTCCTCTTCAACTTTGCCATCGATGATATTCTGGAAACAGCTCTGATGGATGTAAATAATGGCGGTGTGGATCTGTTGCCTGGAGAAAAACTTCTCGACCTTGAGTATGCGGACGATATTGTCTTACTGTGCGATAATGCTCAAGCCATGCAATCTGCACTTAATCAGTTGGCAATCAGTGTCCGTAGGTATGGTATGTGCTTTGCACCTTCGAAATGCAAAGTACTTCTACAAGACTGGGAGGATCCTAATCCTGTACTCACCCTGGATGGTGAGCAGATAGAAATAGTCGAGAAGTTCGTGTATCTGGGTAGCTGCATAAGTGCTGGTGGGGATGTGAGTGATGAGATTAATTTTTATTTATTTATTTTTTTATTATTAGAAGCTTTATTCAACATTATATTTTTGGTACAACATAGAATTCTCAGCATAAAGTATTTCAACAAGTTTCCTTTTCTTATACCTTGATCTATTGTGACGATAAATTTTGAATGATGACCGGTTAGATGTTAGGAGTTCGGTAATCCACATTTGATTAATGTTCATTCGTTTCAATGCATATTGCCAGCCACCATGATGTCGCTAATTGTACCTTTTTGTATCCCGTATAGTGAAAGGTTGTAAACTTTTCATAAACGCGCCTGAATAGATTGTGCGCACAATAGACATAATAATGTGCTAAAACAAACAACAAAACAGATAACTTGATGAAATTTCTAGATCGGAGGAACAGGTAGCCCAGATATTCAAGCAGGCCGCGTATAGTGAAAGCCAGAGCGGCTTATGCCAATCTGGGCCATCTTTGGCGCCACCTGGCTGTAAAAGGTCGGATCCACAACGCGTCGGTGAGAGCAGTTTTGCTCTATGCTTGTGAAACCTGGTCTCTCCGAGTTGAGGACGTTAGCCGACTCTCTGTGTTCGATCATCGTTGTCTCCGAAGGATTGCTGACATCCAGTGGCAACACCATGTTAGTAATGCAGAGGTTCGGCATCGTGTGTTCGGGCACAGAGACGGTAATGCAATTAGTGTCACCATCTTGAAACACCGACTTCGGTGGCTTGGACATGTTCTACGAGTGTCGTCCCAGAGAATTCCACGCCGTGCATTATTTGCCGACTCTGGGACTGGTTGGAGAAAGCGGAGAGGTGGTCAGTATATGACATGGTGTCGTGGTATGAAAGAAAGCTGCAAAGGGCTGGCTTGTGTTGGTCCTTCACGACTCCTTGGTTGGGGTCCGAGAGATGGTACAACACAGTGGCTAGAGACGTTATCAGATATGGCTCAGAATAGAAGCCAGTGGCGATCATGCTGTAACCTTCTTTTACTTTCTTCATAAAACGTGGTTGTATCTTCCTTAACTGAAAGATTGCTTCTGATTGTAATCTTCTGTTCCCGTACTATTACTATTATTATTACACTACCTTACACCAATCTCTTCGTTATTGTTTTTTTTATATTTTTTTTACGTTCCCCACTTTTTTCCTTTTCTTCTTAAATTCTCATTGTTTTGTGTGGCGCATATATATTTGGCGCACTCATGTACCAATATATATGTGTTCAAATAAATAAATAAATAAGCAGAGATTATATGACAAATGAAATTATATAACTATAGTCTCGTTACCATGTAGGAAAGAGAAGTTAACCAAACTTCCTTTTTGTTTGCATTAGGTCCACTTGAAAATGTTTGATATTAATAGGCTTTGTAAAGCAAAATCAAAGCAGTGTTTTATTTCACTGTACGCTATCATCCATTTCTGCCTATAAAATTCCAGTGACTTTATGATAATATCGAGACAATCCACACAGGATGTACATATGCTAAAAGAGACTGATCAATTATAGTCCTAAACATCAATCGGAGAATCCAAACAACCAATAGATATGTATTAGTGTTTTTTTTATGTTTTTTGTTCTTATGGTAGGAGATTATCGAGTTCTGCGGTCCGATTCGGTTAACGGTGAACACTCCCCACTCCAAACGCCTGGTTAACCTACTGATCATGTAAGGGAAGGGTGATCCAACTGTTTCAGTAAAAGCTGAATAGTAATGTAAATTAACCTAGATAGGACATGTGGTTGAATAACCTTTAAAAGATGAATAATTTATTAACAAAGCCTCTGCCGATAATTAAATTCCTCACTTACAATGTACCTCATCTTGAGTTAGTATATGATTTGTCCAGAATAGTCAAACATATCAGAGACATCATGCATAAATTGGTACTTTAGTTGTCATTTTTATTTGGATGCGTTTTGTTATCCATTAACGATCCATTATTAAGTTGTATGAAGTTATTTCACATACAGAGAATTTTATTTACTCGAATGCTTTTACAGTAAAAAAAACAATAGTTAAATTCGAAATCTAGATAGAGGATAATAAACAATGTACTGAGTGGAATAATTTCAGGAGGTAACCTACCATACTTCGAAGTCCACGGATAATAGGATTAGCCATATTACCTAATCCATAGTCAACAATTGCACCAGCCAAAATTAAATCAGTTAACCGTCCAGGTGTAGCAACAAGAATAGTGGAACCTTTTTCTTTAAAATTATTGAAGTCTTGAAATTTTGTTGTAGCTCCACTAGAACGTCCACTACTAGTGAAGACAAGCGCTGAGAAATTATACTCACTAGTAAACAAGGAAAAATAATCCGTCTGGAAATTTTTCAATTCACTAAGTTGTGATCATTTTAATAATAAACTAAAACTACAGATATTGTTAAAAAAAATTAAAGGCAGGTAAACTCATACACAGCATCGGTTCATAAAGTCAGTCATTATTGAATTGAGCCGTGTTAGTAGGTGTGTACTACCTGGTCGGGGTCAATACGATTATCGTAATCAGTAGTTGGAGACGCTGAACGATATGACTTAGATACTGATTTTCAAAATTATATTATGTCTTTTTATTCCACAGATTACTTTTTCTTTCGAATCAAATTATTGAGTCATTATATGATATTAGAGATGACGTCAACAAGAATAAGATTCTGAATACATGCTCTCTTATACACAGTTATTACAGTGTAAAAATACAATGTTCTATGTGATTAACAACAATTTAATGTATAACAGCCACTCATATAATGATATCCCAAGTTCATTTTATACTCATAACTTAGTTTTCAACAGAACGTTAAAACAACAGAGCTATAGTTACATTGATACAGTTCAGAATGAAATTTTCCACAACTAAACAAATATACAAGAACACAATAATCCATTCACAAAATCTATAGAACTATGAAATTTAGGTAAATGGTTTAGTTATTCATGTAACGTTTTGAATTTTGTTTAAAACATGCTAATACGAAAATACACCTGCTTTATAAAATTGAAGATAGCTTTCTTACAAAGACACTAACTTTTACTAAAATAAGCAACGTTTTAGTATATCTCTGAATTATAATGGGAAAACAGGTTGGTAAAATACTTAAGGGACTAAGATAGGAGAAATGATTAGTTCATGAACTGAAGCCCAAACTCATAGCCTTTTAACAACCGACCGTGGTTTATTTATTTTTTATTTATTTGAACACAAATATTGGTACAAGGGGGCGCTAAATATATATGCACCACACAAAACAATGAGAATGGGAAGGGAAAAAAGAAGGCAAGCAGCGCATAATAAAAAAAGAACAATAACGACCACAGATTGGCGTAAGGTAGTGTAATAATAATAATAATAATGGGGAAAACGGAAAGGTACAACCAGAAGAATTCTTTCAGTTAAGGAAGATACAACCACGTTTTATGAAGAAAGTAAAAGGTTACAGCAGGATCGCCACTGGCTTCTATTCTGAGCTATATCTGATAACGTCTCTAGCCATTGTGTTGACCATCTCTCGGACCCCAGCCAGAGAGTCGTGAAGGATCAACAGAAGTCAGCCTTTGCAGCTTTCTTTCACACCACGACACCATGTCACACACTGACCACAGAACATTGAAGGCAGCCAGTTTGAATGGTGCACGTGGTTTCAGAAAAACTGCTTCAGTACTCATATTCGGTGGTAACATACAATTTTCAACCAGACAGTGACTCGAGAACGTTTAGATAGAATCTAGTTTCCACCATAGGCGAGCTGCTGTATGAGTCGAAAAATAAGGATACACAAAATGGGAATAAAATAGAGTGAATAAGTGACGTAGTAAATAATAATAATAATAATAATAATAATAATAATAATAATAATAATAATAATAATAACATGAATCGTTTGACTGTTAATCGAAGCAAGAATAGTATTTTCCGTAAGTATCGTCGTTTCATTCTGTTTATGTGTGGGCTGTGATACTGCCTGAGTGCCCAGACCGAAGTAGATGGTTTTCTTAGGAAGCCACATTCCAAGCCTTTGACCTAAAGGTCTGATCCACGAGGCAGTAGAGCATCGTAAGGAGATGCAGTCTCATGGTAGCCGGTGACCAACAATCGGTTCATACGCTAATTGTTCCCTCGGGATACTGGAGCCCATGTGCACCATTGGTTTGGGATCCAGTTAAAGCGCAGGACAATCGCCTTCCGTCCTCTCATTTTCGTAAACATCCCCGTGGTGTGAGAAGGCAGTGAGCTGGACTTCCCTGGCAGAGGCTGTATACGCGTGGCCGTATGAGAGCATTTCGAGAGGGCGGGCCCACCCCACTTTCGGCCATACCAGGGCATTTGGGGGCTAATCGTGGTTATCACAAGTAGGTAGTCTGCATCTACTAACATAACTCAGACTAACAATCAATGACATCATGGACTAATGTTATGTTTTCACTAATTTGTTGGTGTAAAAATCATAAATGAATGAGTGACGGATTCTTAAACAATCGAACTTTGGGGGGAGGGGGTATTATCCACATTTTAAATTTATTCTTAATGTAAAATCTAGGCCTCAGAAAAGTAACAAATAAACAAAAACCACGACAGAGACAATATGTAAAAATATGAAATAATTAGATTGATTTATTACTTACTTGGAGTTTGCATTGACATATTTGATAAAGTGTAACACTATCTCATATATTTGAATTGCTAATTCACAGGTAGGAGATAGAATCAAAGCTCCAATCTATTTGGTATAAGATTTATTTCATGATGTTTTACTTCATATATTTGCCATGGGCGTTTCCTTTTTAATAATATCTCCAAAACGGGAATAACAAATGCCAAAGTTTTCCCAGAACCAGTGATAGCCTCAGCTGCAACATCTTTTGAATTTAATAGGAGAGGAATAACATATTGCTAACGATATTAAAAATAAACATGAAAGGATTACCTGAACAGGCAGAGATTCTTTAAATCCTAATGCATCAATAGCTTTTAGTATGCTTTTAGATAATTGGACTGGTAACGAATTCCAGTCTGAACTCATTTTAAATTAGAGCAGATTACCAGACAATTTTTCGGACTTTTAATAGGTCTCTCTCGGAAATTCAAAACAGAAAACCTGTAAAGTATGGACGTATGTGAAAATGTATGTTATTTTATTTTGTTAACAATCGGTAACAAAGTCATAGATATTGTATTTTGCGAAATAGATGAAAACCATTAGTTTGACCTGGTGACATTTCAATATTCCCATTGTAACAGGTCTGTATCAGAATACTATAATGGGGAAAAGTGTTGAGATAGTCTGTAAATGATGCAGAGTCCGACTTAAAGGAAGGCTGGAAACTACTTTATAACCACACATAATAGTTGGTTATACATAGACAACTCGTCCATCGATAAATATAAAGATGAACAAACAGAACATCCTTTTACAGTTTTCGAAGAAATTCACAAAAACATTCTCTTTAATTACCAGACTTATATTGTTTTACATTCACAATATTTTTTATTTTGAAGTCAATCATTCACTTCAAATCTGGTTACGGCCAAAATACAAAACAACTATGTTATTCGAGTACCGAAATACGATGAAACATTTGCAAACACTAATTATTTGATGAATAACGTGCACTTTTTACAAGTCTCCGGAGAATGCATCATATATGACCTGAAAATCGACTCTCACTCTCAGATTGCAAGTATTAAGAAACCTAGTGGTTGAAACAATTATTTTTCAAGCAATAAAGTGAAGGCTTAGAATAATCCCAAATTATATCATTGTGCTGCAGAAAAGGAACGGTATGAATCAGTACAGCATGGACAAGTATATGCTACTTCACAGAGATAGTAACTAAAACGGTATTAGTCGCTTTCAGTAACGCGACCTTCCTTGTAGTAGTGTGACCCGTTGTAACACTAAAAACTGGTTTTATGTATGAGAATTAAGTCATGGGTGAAAATAATTCGAGATAGATTGGTTGTTTGCTCACACGCCTACCAGCACCCACATTGAACAGCTATAAAGACCATGTGACTTGATTTCGATGGATAATAAAAACGCAGAACCACCCGAACTTATTGGGATGGGTGAGACCAAAATTTATGGACAACCTTTTAGTGATGTCTTGGTGATCTCGGGAATGTCCACCTACTTACTAGGGTTAAATGAGGGTTATGAAACTATTTGGAGAGTAAAGAATATGAGTTACGGCCGATAAGTAGGTCCACGAATTAACTCTATGGCTTTTATCACGAACTCACATTGGTCAAAATTCCAAAACGCTATTTAACAAATGGGTGGATGAATTCCGTAACAAAATCCAAGACATGTTACTCTAAATCTGATTGGTTCTTCCATATATTCTGTTATCACCACTTAACGCGAAATTTGACTCATAAAGTTTATAATACTTCTAGAATCACTATGTGGAATTAATTTAATTACCCTCTAAATGATAGATTCTCTATCCCAACGTTATATACTCGCCTACCGAGATTACATTGAAATCGTTCAAGGTCACTTTGACGGTCACTTCATACTATAAAACAAGCGATAAACCCTTCTCAGGACAAAACGCCTACGGATTGTGTAAGCGGTTTCCCAACAAGCTCGAGAGAGTCTTTAGTCTTCTTGTGAATGAGCCTACTGATGGATCGCGCACAACATTTTCGAGGAACAGGTTCCAAGATTGGATAATATATTGTGAAATCCTGTATGTCACATGTATTTTGTTCACTTTCAACTTGCATACTATCTTTTAAACCCGAAATTGTTGATTTTCTATTTTCGGGTGCAAAGAGCCTCTAGTCTGTCGTCTCGATCAAAGTCTATAGCGAGCAATCGATCTTGTGACTTTGTGTTTGGATCTAGTTCTTAGTCTAGATGAGACTCCTGAGTGAATACTGTCCCGAAAAAGTCCACTATGGCTTTTGCCTTGCCTTGGCGTTTTTTGTTATTTAAGATGCCCCCATCCCATAACTTGGTTGAGAATCCAATGATGAATTCTTGTTCCGTAATTTATGGACAGGAACAATCTATTCGGCTGATCGATAACAAATTGTGCCAATCGCTTCTCACATTTTCACCAAACTACTCAGATCATCCTAGTGTACTTTTTTCGGACAAATCTTAAGCGTTCCATAGCGTGTTCTGTGTCAAGGCTAATGGTGACATTCCACGTCTTCCCTTTTGACTTAGTAATCATCGAGTATCCAGTCCTGTTCAGGGAACTGTCCACGGTATAAATGGTCGAGTTGCCTGAGTGTACAACTGTTAGAATTAAGCTTATTCCTCCACTACTGACATATTTGAGTCAATTTTCCAGTTTTTGGTCGAGGTTGCAGAGTTCATCGCCTTCATGACTGCCTAGAATATGTTAGGACGGCCTGGAGCAGCTATTTGACTGAATATACATTTCATGGACTTGAATATGATAAGAACATTTGGCTGACATCATCACCGTAGGCTATGGTCGAATCCAATACAGAGTTTTATAGGTCATAACTGGTGAGATCTACAATGTGCTGGAATAAATGTAGGGGATTTTGGTTTATAACAGTTCTCAGTCAATATGGAGAAGATTTGTAGCTCAGGTGGATGATTTTGGTGGATTTTTGTTCTCTGAGCTGGATGGTTTGGTCGTGGAGCTTTCATCATTCTTCTGAACGACATCATCAGCACAAACTTCATAAAATTGGATTTGGTAACCTCCGTACATACCATAATATTTTTCTCTAAAATCGTAAGTGCTAGTTTGAGTCAATCGTTATTTTCAGTTTGTTTCTTTATCAGATCCTCCATGGTGTTCTGACTCTGTTCCTGCTTAGTCTGTTTTGCATCAATATAGGTAATATGGGTCTCTATAGCTGAAACAGCCAACTCACATTCTTATAGCTCTCTGTAATTTTTCCTCTTCTTTGCACACTTTTCCTTTTTATAGTGCATACATTAGTGTATTTATCATCCACTACGTTATGGATGTCCTCCTTGATAGTTTCAGATCTAAAGCTGGACTTACACTGACGCTTATTACTTTCTAGAAATCTGACAGCTGTCCATCTGCCGCCGGCTTTATCTGAGGATATCCTTCTAGCTGTGTTTGACGGCTAAATCAACCCAGGAATCAGTAGAGACTTTGTAGAACTGCATGGTTTGCACAACCAACATGATGGCGGCTTGAGACTCCAATTATATGCAGCTGGTATGATTCCGGTGCTCTTGTTGTAAAGTTGCTTGTTGCAATCGCCACACTACATTCTACCATAGGCTAGAAAAGAGCTTGCGGGTCCATCGCAACAATGCTTTATATAGGCCACTGAAACTATTTAATGAGCTCCCAGATAGAACAGCGCGAAAAATACTTCAAAGTGCGGGAAAACATCACGGAAACAAAAAGCTGATCTTTGACTAAAAGGATCAGTGAAATCATTAATCATGTTCACGTAAAGTGCTGGTCTCATTTCATAATTGGCAGCTCAATGAAAAGTATGATAGTAGCCAGTCGTGAGTGTTCAACTCAAATGACAGTAGTTTATTGACTCATCAATCGAAATTAATAGGTTTAACCAAATAGACTTAGACAACCTGGCTTTATGACGAGCAAGCACGAGCGTTTCATTCAAATTGCTGTCCTCAGAAAATCAAATAATACAACTGTTGCTTTGTAAATTCCTTCAAAGTCTTCCATTTTATGGCATCGCTATTTTTTTAGGATTTGTGACCTTTTCTTCACTATATATTATCCAGACCATATGTACACTTGACTCGATATTTCTTGATTTTCATTGACTGAAATTTTATTCTTCGGTTGAAATTTTTTATCAGTCTTTCATTTTTTTATCGAATGATACCAGGTCGATCACGGTAATATCTTGTGTGACAACATGTAGTGACTAGTTGTCAGTACTCTTTAGGCGTCTGATAAAAACGTGTGTCACTTCAATTGATTTTTGTAGACAGGACATTAGTTTCCTCCCGTCGGGAATATTCTCAGTGATCTTCAAGTACTTATTAACCACTTTTCAATGTATAGCGCTACTAAAGAACCTTGACGTATTTGATTTACCATAAACCATTTTTGTGAATACTGCTTCCTTTATATGGAATTTCGAAATCGTTGTTAGACTCAGGTTTAAAACTAGTTGGTGTATAATTTTAACCTTGATCCTTTGGTTCTGTTCTTTTTCTTCAGTTGTTCATTTGTTTTTAAGCTACGAGGGACCCCAATATTCAGGGTTTATAGTGAATTTTGTTTCTATATTTATGGTGGAGGACAATGTCTCTATGGATTTGCAATAATATACATACATTTACCGTTTGATTATTGAAATGTTTTGAGAGTTGAAATCTGTCGAGTATTCGCCATTCATCTTCACCATAGTCTGCAGAATCGAATTTAGTACATACCATGTTATTTCGTATAAGAGGAAAGCTTCACTATGAAGTGGCTGCTGAAGTGTGTCGAATTTCCTGGAATAATTTGCCGTCATTCAATAATGCTACGTACATTCACACAGTGGGTTGTGTTATAATTTCATTGAGATATAATCATAGACCGCAAGTGACTCAAGAGGGCTTCGTACAATATGCAGAAAAACCCAGTGGTTTAGCTTAATCACGTTGATCTTGGTTTCGTCGTATCATTATGTAAGTTCGAACTACAGAGTTGGATTTCGATCGGAACAAAATAAGGCCCCTTTGTTATAGGTCATACAATCCCATTTTTCAAAAGTTTTTTCATAGCAGCAGAGCATACTCAAGTGCATCCGGATATTTTGTGTTTTTCCCTCCTAGACGATAAACATGACACTGAAACCAAACATCGTATGTTTGCTACCAAACCTTTCCCACTGCAAATTCTTGACATCGTATATCGCAATAGCACCACAAAACTACCGAACAAAGACGCTTACGTTTTAACGAGACAACATAAATTATTCACTTTCACTTCTTCCCAACTAACTTGAACACTTTTCCTAATCCTTTGATTCCCATCAGCAGAATACCACTTATAATCCTGGATCTGCATTGGGACTGACGTGACTTACAGGAGTTGCTACCGTTATATTTAGGCCATCTATCTTGATGACTTCAGGATCTTAATGACCATGCGTTTTAGATGATGAATTAAGTAGCAAGATAGACACCCATCACCTATATGAACGGTGTACTCTAAATGCACGTAAATGAAACATCGAAACATCAAAATGAGAGGCGAGCTATATATAACAAACAACAGAGATAACATAAAATGAACAAAATGGAACAAGGAATGAAACAAACCGTCTCTTATCGCTCACAAAATTGATGAAGACTAAAGATCCAGTCATTCACAAACAAATCCGATCAATGGAACAATTTTTGATACGGAAAAATAACCTCAGTAAAAGATTCCTGTTTATTGCCGTTGTCTCTTGTTTCGTCTTTCGTGTCCATGGATGCACTAGATGTGTTTGCTGGTTTGACATATTGAACCCAAACCCGAAAGTGTATCGAAATGATACATGAACACATTTATATATTCATCTTACTCCAGATTAGTTAATAATTATCACAGATAGGAAATGTATACAGAATTACTGCTAAAATCAGAGGTGAATACCATACTAAACGAACTACATCCTGCATTAATGCAAAGAACATTAACTTAAAATAAGGTCACACTGCAATAAACCAGTCATACTGGTCAAAATATCAAACTAAATGCGGAAAAAATGCTACCATTAAAAGTCATCATATGGGATTGAAAACGGAAGTAATATTACACGGAAATCAATGACCCGACAACATCATCTCTTTTCCATCCAGCATTATCACCCCTTTACTCTGGTCAAAAACCAAGATACTGAAAGTGATTGCCATCCGCTGAACTAAAGATAGAACGAATGTTCTTGTGTCCACCATTTTTAACCTCCTCTTAGTGTTACATGTTGGAAGCCTATTTATTCAGTCATCCCAAGTCCAGCTTTGAAGATTATGATTGGGATCCAATGCCACTACAGACCTACCGCGCAGTGGTCTAACCTCGGTATTATTATGACTGTTGGATTTGTCATTTTGGTTGTCTAACCACAAAGTGAAGATGCATTTTATACACTTGGAAGCATTTGAATACTCCAACATGATAGTGGAAAGGTGTAAATGTCCGGTTATTGGTGATAGATCAACGAAGTCATGTCAAACTCGTCAGGCGCGCGTGATCAAATTGTGTTAAATTCTAAGAGTCCTTTTGAGTTACCGGAGAACTCACCGATCTTGTTTGTGTGTGACGGCTGAGATATTAAAAAATACGGTACTGCCAGAAACTCAAAGGCACCACTGTTCTTCATTGCTGAGCCACTGAAGCCTATAAATCGGGTAATCCCCGTTCTGGTTTGTCGAAGAGAGGTTGCATGATAGAATAGGCTTTCCAGACTGGATTTTGTCTGTTCGTGTTGCTTTTGTTCATTAGTTGTTTGGACTGCCTATGATGATATAGTATTTTATTCTCAAGGGAGGCAAGATTGAAAGGCTGCTAATTAGGACTTC